TTGAGGCTCTTTTTACATAAAAAGTTTATCTATTTGTATCCTATAAATTATAGTTTGTTGTTATGATTTTTACATAAAAATTATATGTTTTTACCAAATTTTAAAGGTTTTCTATAAAGCTTTCAGATCTGATTTTTTCTATAAAAATCAATAAATTGTTAATTGTTTTATGGAAAATTCTTGGAAGTTTTATTTTATAAAACAGAAAATTTTTCAGATTTAAAATCCTCAAATTTTCAATTGTTTAGAAGGTTTTTAAGCTGGTTTTATTGAGAAACTTTTTGTAAATTTAGTTCGTATTGATTTATATCGATTCTTATAATTTTAAAGGTTGTTATGATGGATTTTAGAGGCTTTTTAACCTAGTTTTCAAATCTGATTTTGTAGCCCCAAATCCATACTTTCCTAATTATTTTACATAAAAGAGTGTTTTGAATGGGAAAATTGGGTAGATAAGATTTGAGTTAGTAATTGGTTGAATTTTAAATCCTTGGATAGGATTTAAGAATTGATTTTGGATATTGGTTGTTTCTAGGTCTCTAAGTTGACAACTACCAAGGAAGAAGTTAACTAGATTCGTAGGATTTCTGAAAGAGGTAAGTAATTTGTCATATCCCTTCGAAAAAGTATTGTAAGTAATTTACCATATCCCTTCGAAAAGTGTTGTAAGTAATTTTCCATATCTTTTGGAAAAGTATCGTAAGTGATTTGCCATATATTTTCCAAAACTAAAATGTATTTTGGATTTGATACGATGATTTGAAATTGATATCTTGCATATGAAATTGAAGTTTTATTATGGATTTGAAAACTAATTTGACAATTGATATTATTTTTATTTGCCAAGTATTTGAACTATTCTTATATGATTTGATAAAGTTTTGTTTAGATTTATTTAAAGATTTGGAATTGATATTTTGTTTATTTGTGAAATATTTGAAATCACGTTTTGGATGATTGATAAAGTTTGTTTTAAATTATTTCAATGTTTCGAACTAATTTAATATTGAACGTAAGTATTTGTTTTGCACTTTATTTGAAAGATATTTTGATTGATTTGATAGGACCATCCGGATATGCCATTATTTTGTTTTGAGGAATGTTTTGCTTATTTAGGGTAGTAGCCTAATTTGGAATTGATGGATTTCTGTTCTGGCTTATTTGTGGGAAGGCACTTTTGTGGTTTGGCATTCCTTGGGATGAAGATTCATGTGTGTGTTATTCACTCACATGACCTCACACTTAAGTAACTCTGTTCTGGTTGATATTATTTCGACAACTCTGTTCTGGTCGATATTATTTCGACAACTCTGTTCTGGTCGATATTAATTCGACAACTTTGATAGAAGCTTCTGATTGATTTGGTGTTACCGACGGGTAACCACATATGTTCTGTAGGCTACCCAAATAATGCAACATTCCACTCTGATTTTGAAAGTATGAATGAATGTAAGATTGTTTTGAATGTTCGAATGATTTAGTTATTTGAAAGTTTGAAAGGTGTACCAAATGTTTTAGAAGGAACTTTGAAAGTTTAGATTGAAAGAAAGTTTGTTTTGAAGGATTTGAAATTTGATCGAATGAAAGTTTGTTTTGAATGAATGGAAGTTTGTTTTGAAAGAATGAAAGTTTGTTTTGATTGACTGGAAATTTTATCTTATTTGAAGACTTTGTTTCCGAAAATCTAGTTTATTTTCAAAGTTTTGAAAATTGTATTAAAGATTTTAAAGGACTTTAAAAGTTTTGATTTTTTCGCCTTTTTGTTTACGAATGTTTTGAAAGGAAAATGAATTTCAATGTTTGTTATGGAGATTGCTTATTGAGTATTTTTGTACTCATTTTTTTTCTGTTTTCTAAATGTTTTCAGATGAAGGTTCAAGTGACTGCTTAGATAGTGATTGAGGAATAGCGTTCTGGCATGAGGAGTTGAAATTTTTAGTATTTTCCATTATTTTTAGCTTATGAGAACTTAATTAGTTCTGGTAGCTATTCTTTGGCTTTATTATAGTGTAGGTTTTTTTTTTTGTTAAAGTTGGACTTGTCCTTATCTTTTGTCATAGTATCGTATTAAATAAAGAAGTCTTTCCGTTAATTTAGTGATTAGTTGATTACGCTTCCGCATTTTGACAGAATGACCGTATTGGAAAATACGGGTTGTTACAGCCCTAATATTTGGTTTACCAGGTCATTGATAAATTACAGAGTGCATGACTGTTAATATCGACAAAAGAAAAAAAATATTAAAATAAATTCAAAATAAATATAATAAATAACAAAATATATAAAGTAAAAAAACAAAAAACTAGACCCAAACAAGTACAGTAATAATAACAAAATTAATTAAAATTGGGATACATGAGGCATACTTGTTTTTGGAACCTCTTAACTTCTTTTTTTTTCCTTTTTTTTTCTTTCTAGCGTTTTTTAATACGTTTTTTTGTTTTATAATTGAATTTGAATTCACATGAAACCGTTTTCATACCAACGTGGCTCTAGGTATTCGCTGTAAGAAGAAATCAGATATGAAATGGCCACGAAAAAATACTAAAAAATAAAAAATAAAAAATAAAAACCATACCCCGCATGCTGTGCTCAAGAAAAAAAATGTAAATAAACACAACAGACAAAAAAATATATATACATAGAGAACAAGAATTACTAAGAATATTTTTTTTCTGAAATAATTACATATATAATTATTTTTTTCAATGGTTATTATTAATATTGCAGTTCGGGTAATTAATACCCTTTCATTCCTAATACATGCGTTCTGTTACACGCAACCAACGCCCTTTGGTATTCATTGCGTGAATATATTACTACGTTTTTTGTTTTCTTTCTCTATAAATAGACTACTTAACGCAGTTTACTTGTTCATTAACAAGACACTGTGACATCTCCTTTCGTGTGATAGATTTCAAGTTCCTCTGAGGGCAACGCACAATAAGCGGATAGTACTATTGCGAGATTGAATGAAGAGTTCGCAGGAAAGGGGATGGCGAATATTGACGATGTCGCGACGTATCAAACTATACAAGAGCTCAACCATGAGTTTGGATGCATGTACAGTATGGAAGAGGCGAACAGAACTATCTGCACCTTGACGGATGAGCTAGCCGACGCAAAGCAGCGTCTCAAGTTCTACAAGGATTCATCTGAAGAATACCAAAGGCATTCTACTGGTTGTAGGCGATAAGCAGGATCTCATACTGAAGATCCAAACGTTGGAGGATAGTATCGCTGATGCCGAGGAGAAGGAAAACCGCTGCGCTCGTTAGACGACTTCAATCTCATATCATTTCATGCTTTTTTATTCGTAATAGAACATGTTTTTTTTCCTATCAACACAACTCTTTCACCCTTTTATTTTTTGTTATTATTTTTAAAGGCTGTTTTTTTATTATGTATCCGTTTATTTTATAATATATATTTTCCATTGTTGTCAATACATATCTCGACTCTTCTCACTATAAAGTATATTTAATTTAGATTTTAATATTAAAAAAAATTTAACCCTATCGATATAATTGTCTTTATGTCGATCTCGTTGTCAATAGCTTTATCGATAGTATGCAACTAACTTTATCAGTAACTCTTTGTTGTGTGGTGTCGCTGCTGCATGTCGTTACCGACTTCGTAATTGTATATCGACATCGTGTATCGATTCTGTTATCGCTGGTGTTCGTCTCTGTGGTATCTAAAGTCAAAGTAAAAGATTTATTGGCAACGCCTTCATAGTTACCTTTGCCTATAAAAGATACAACTATCATTAAGCGTTATATTTACCGTGATGTAATATAATAATAGGGTAAAAAAAGAAAAGGCCAAAAAAAAAAGGGGGAAAACATATTAAAAATTCGAAGATGGCGGGATCAAGATTTATGGATGAAATTTTGGGGATGAAGGGTGGATGAGTAATTTAACATGCGTACGGTTGTTAGAAAAGATTAGAATAACATGTTTATTGGATTAGTGTCGTATCACATTGACGTCCTAATTTTATATCATTCGTGCGATTACCCATTTGAATTTGGGAAATTGGGATATATGACCCCTCCCATAAATCATTTTGGATTTATGACCCTTTTTAAAAAAAATCTTATGTATGACCCCTCCGTTACCCTTTTCCACTTTTTATCTTTGTAAAATTATCAAACAATCTCTTGCCTTAGACCTTTCAATTTCTTTTTAATTTGAATCAAATAGGGAAAAAAAATCGACATTTTAATTAATGAATCAATTAAGAACAACAATCGAATCCACGAAAAAATCCTCCATAAGTAAACATAAACCACATAAGTCGTCCAATAACTAAATTTGGGTGAAAAAAAATTTGCATGATCTAAGAGTAAATGCATAACATTTGTCAGGATTTAATTAAAAAAAGGTAAATAACGGTCGAGATTTAATTGACAACAAAGAGGACAAGATGGAAGAGAAGGCAAAAAAAAAAAACCTAGAAGGGTGTAGATCCCAATCCGGGATAGCACAAACCCGGGTCGGGATGGCATAATCTCGGACTGGGCTTGTATGAATATTGGCCCGATCTGGGATTGTTCTATCCCGGTCCGTGTTTGTGCTATCCCATACAAGAATCCACACTAGTCCAGTGTTTTTTTTTTTTGCCTTCTCTCCGATCTTAGCTCTCTTGTGCCTGACATTAAATACAATATTGGCTCGAGATTTATGAAATTTTGATTTTTTTATAATTAAATTCGGACAAATGTTATGTAGTTATGTACATTCGATTTTTCATATTAAACAATTCAATATTTAATATTCCATTTTGTAATTTCAATTTTTTTGTAATTGATTTTTTTCATAATTAAATTTTAATTAATTATTTGAGTTAGTTTTTTTTTCATACATAATTGATGTTTCAAGTTAATAAAGATTGAAAATAATTTTTTTTTTTAATAATGAGGTGGTTGATTTTAAAACATAAGAATACTAAAGTAATTTTATATTTAAAAATTGTGAAAGAGGTAAAAAAATGGTGGGATCACAAATGAGCTTTTCCATAATGATCAATAGGAGAGGTAGTATATTCAAATTTCCCCTTTGAATTTCCATCGAAGTTCCGATAATTCTAGGGTTTCCGACGGGGACGAAATTGTGCTATCAGGCTGTGTATTGAGAGATTCGGCGATGGGGAAGAACGACAAGACGGGGCTGGGGCGAGCTCTTGTGAGGCAGCACAACCAGATGATCCAGCAGTCTAAGGAGAAAGGCCGATTCTACAGGTCTCAGCACAAGAAGGTTTTGGAATCCGTCACGGAGGTCAGCGACATCGACGCCGTCATCCAACAAGCCGACGAGGCCGAGCGCCTCTTCTCCATCGATAACCCTGTCCCCAACTTCCCTATCAAGCTGTGAGTTCTTCGAGCTTCCCTTACCATCAGTTTTGATTCACGAGCTGTAAAGATTGATTGTGTTTTAGACATAAGAAGCGGAAATAGGTTTAATGGAATTGGTTTCTGGTTTATTTGCGAGCAGGGATGGAAGTTCGAGCACGAGTGAAATGACGCCTGAGGAAAGGAGAGAGCAGCAGAAGATAGAGGAGGCTTTGCACGCCAGTAGTCTACGAGTTCCACGTAGGTTTGTCTTCTTTTCCTTACCAAATTGTGTAAGTTTTGCATTAAAGTTTTCGTTGAGCAGCGGGTAAATGTCTGTCTTGTTTTAGGCCGCCGTGGAATGCTCGGATGTCTCCGGAGGAGCTTGATGATAATGAGCGACAGTCTTTCTTAACATGGCGTCGTAGCCTTGCAAGGTTTGCTTCGATTTTAATGTCCTTGTTCCTGTTTGATTTGTACAGTCTTACAACTTTAAAAACTTGTATATGTATATTGTTCCTGTGTATTCTTGTTCGTGGTTGGCATTCTTATGCAGTTATGTTTGTTTTAGGCTTGAGGAAAACGAGAATCTTGTTCTTACGCCATTTGAGAAAAACCTAGATATATGGAGACAGCTTTGGCGGGTCGTTGAGCGATGTGATTTGGTAAGGTCAAGTTTATACTTCTGATTATGACTGCGATATGATTGTTATTACAACATTATTCCAATGTTATGCATGGTTCTTCAACATAATTTGTTATTACCATTCTTGTATACCCATGCAGAAAGAATAGAGGCATATTATGTAATTAGCAATAACATATCTTGTTTTCTTTTTCTTTTGAGTTTGGATTATCCTCTTCTTATCAGCCTACAGTATCATGTGCTGTAAGTTTAGGGTAACAAATCTATGTATCGGCGGAAAGTTTATCATCTGAAAGTTTCTTAATTTGAGGAGCTTCCAATAACTACCTTGAGTTTGAGTACAGCAATTTCATTCATTTGAAAATTATTATCACATAATTATGCTTTTGATAATTGGGTTTGAAATTTTAGTATTACATCATTATACACACAATGGAATGCATTTTACTTCTTTTATCAGTTACATGATGAAACTTATTAATTACTATTGTAGTTTCCTGTTCAATTAATGTCTAGTGCATTTTTATCCATGTTTTATAGCATGGAAACTAGGAAGTGAATAAAAGGTATCATATGTTTCTTAAAGTAGAAGGTCCTCAAGTATAATAATAATAATAATCAATGAGTTTCTATGTAACCAGCCAGTTCTTGAATCTTCCGTTTCAGTTATTGTTTTAGTACTTCCTCTGTTGGTTGGCATGTACAATCATGTTAAGTTCATCCTCCATCATGCTATTCTATTGTTTGTGGAAATGCTGATTTTCTTCTTTGTATTCAGCTTGTGATGGTTGTCGATGCTCGAGACCCTCTATTCTACCGCTGCCCTGACCTTGAGGTGAATTCTTGTCTTTATTTTCTTTCCTACTATAACTTTTCTGTTTTTCTATTCTGATTGAGTGTTATGCTTGAGAATATTCTAACTCATATATATGGAGTTGGGTTATTTTGTACTAGAAAAGAAAGAAAGAAGAGTTGCCATCTAGTTAATATATTATTTTTGGTGATCTTTTAATTACTTCACTATGATAATTTTGCGACTTGTATGCACTTGTCTGATTCTTTTGTCTGGTTAAATTTGAGTGTTCGAAATATGAGCGCTCCATTTGATATCATAGCCCTGTGGCCTCGTCAAATAATCCAACACATATTAGACTCTTAAAATGGAGATCTTGTACAAAATAATAATAATAATAATAATAACTTGAATGAGAAACATCCGACTTTTTTGTTATACTTTTTCTCTTTATGATCATATGATAGTTATGGTATATTTGAGTTAAAATACTGTGTTAGACAATAATTGAATCATTTACTTGAGTTTGAATTATCTTCATCCACTTTTTTTTGCTTAGCAACATTTAATTGGCATGTTGTGTTCATGAACTTTGTTCTTTTTACCCAACTCTGATAGCGGTTGAATATTTGAATATTATATATATATATATTTGTTGAACGTAAATGTCTGCATGTTATTATTTGTAACATGTCGCCTTTGTGTCTCCATGTGCAATCTGCTTAGTTTTTCCATTTGGGTTGGTTTTGTTGTCATTGCAGGCATACGCAAGAGAGGTTGATGAGCACAAAAGGACATTGCTTCTCGTGAACAAGGCAGATCTGATACCTTACTCTGTCAGGTAAGTGATTGTCACTGAAAATCTGGAATGTTAGTCTATCTTTCTGTGCAGTTTTTTAATAAACAAAAATTCCATGGCAATACTTATGAACAGGAAGAAATGGTCAGAGTTTTTCGGCCTTCATGAGATATTATATGTGTTTTGGTCCACTAAAGCTGCTTCTGCCACTCTAGAAGGGAAAAAGCTTAGCAGTCGATGGGATACTAATGAACCTGAGAATGGTATGGATGATACTGATACAAAAATATATGGTAGGGATGAGCTTCTGGCTCGTGTACAGTACGAGGCAGAACAGATTGCCGAGAGGAGGATGAAGTCACTCACTAGCACTACAAGGCAGTCGGATAATATTACACTAGGTGGAAATACAAACGAAAGAGCGTCGTCAAGTAGCGTCATGGTGGGATTTGTTGGGTATCCAAATGTGGGGAAAAGCTCAACAATTAATGCTTTAGTAGGCCAAAAACGAGCAGGAGTCACCTCTACTCCCGGGAAGACGAAGCACTTCCAAACATTGATTATTTCAGACAAGCTTACGCTATGTGACTGCCCTGGTTTAGTGTTTCCTTCATTTTCGAGCTCAAGATATGAAATGATTGCTTATGGAGTATTGCCTATTGATCGAATGACAGAGCATAGAGAGCCTATTCAGGTTGTTGCGAATCGAGTTCCCAGGCACGTGATTGAGGATGTGTACAAGATCAGTCTGCCGAAACCAAAACCTTACGAGCCACAGTCTCGGCCACCCCTAGCATCAGAACTTCTGAAAGCGTATTGCGACTCCCGTGGTTATGTTGCTTCTAGTGGGCTGCCTGATGAAACTAGAGCTTCCCGCCAAATTTTGAAGGATTATGTCGATGGGAAGATTCCACATTATGAATTGCCTCCAGGAATGTCAAATGAGGATGATAATCAGGAAGAAGATGCTTCAACTCCCAGGCTATCTGAAACACACGATTCAGACTCAGACGAAGTCGAGGACTCCTCAAATGTGGATAGTGAAAATTCCCCTGGTTTCGAACATGTGACGGGCTATCTTGATTCATTTGACATAGCAAATGGACTAAAGACAAACGTCATTGCTGAGAAGAAGCCGAAGACATCTCATAAACACCACAAGAAGCCGCAGAGAAGAAAGAATCGGTCATGGCGGGTCGGGAACGACGATGGCGATGGTATGCCTGGAATGAGAGTGTTCCAGAAGCCAATAAACTCAGTCCCCCTGAACGTGGTTCCATGAGGTTAGTTGATGCATCTCTATGAGCTTTTCAAGGCCTAGGTCTGCATCTTGGTAAATTTAGAAGCATCCGAGGGAAAACAAATTAACGAAAATGGAAATGGTAAAACAAGGATGTATAATTTTTTTTTAAGTTATTTGATGGGCAGTGAAGTTTCTTCTTTGAATTTGTACCCAATTTTTTTATGGTTTTCTGTGGCCTCTAGTAACCATCTTCTCTCTTTCCCTTTTTCTTTTTGTTTTTCGAAAGGGATGATAGAGCATTCTTACTTATTTTTTGAATGGTATTTTAAGATTATTGGATGTTTTTCGAAAATTGTTGTTTAGATTACTCTTTTTAAATATAATATATTTTTGGTTATAAAGGTTTGTTCATGAGATTTTAAAATGGACACACCCTAAACCCATATATATATATATATATATATATATATATATATATATATATAGTTATATGGTAACTCCAAAATGTACCATTTTGACAATTATTGTACGCAACTTTTAATCTCTATTCCAAACAGTTTGAGAAAGTCATCAATCAATTGAGCCATCTCCATTTTTTGGCACATTATCCAAATAAACAGAAGTTTCAAATGTACAATAATACTTACTAGTATTTTCCACATTTAGTTTAAACATTTTTTATATTTCCTTCAGAGATATATAGTAGACTAAAGATTATATTATATATTTATATGGTAGGTTTCAATGTGAGGTATGAGAATTTGAACCTTCAACTTCAAGAGAAGTAGGTGTCATTTACAGTTGAGTTATGTACATATTAGCATATTGTAGTTCCCGGTAAGCTATCTTAGAGTTGTGGAGAGAGGTCGTAGGATTGGTTTACCACTTTATTTAGGCTTCCATCTGATTTGTTTGTTTTGCTTAAGACACTTTAAGAAGTTGAACTGCAATGAATATTATACCCATCAGAGGGAGGTCTCTTCTATTGTCCTATCAGTGGGTGTGTATTGTTTAAAAAAATTGTAATCTTGAGTAATTAATTTAATTTTTTTTATATGATGACATTTTTCATTAAACACTATACATTATATTTTATTGAGTTATTTGAGTTCTATGTTTTTTTTTTTTTTGTGAAAAAAGAAAATATTTGTGTTTTAAGTTGAAGATGAAGTGAGATTTGACATAAAAATAATAGAGTTACATCTCGAATTGAGACTACAACGTTATTCAATAGAGGTGTTATATGCTATCTCACGTGTTTCAGTTAGATCATTATTCAATAGAGGTATTGTACACCATAAAGTTTGAGTTCCGCATTCGAAGCAACTCACTCATCTGCTTTAATATATAGAGCAAAGCCATAAATAAAGAATAGTTTACATTAGTGAAGTTCCGAATTTTCTACAACAATAATTTTATAGGTGTGACACACTGCACCCATGGGTCAAATACTGGGAAATAAGGCTAGGGTCTAACATGGTATGTTGAAATGATTTGGTATGGGCCTAAGTGTCACGCCATAATAATGTTTTGATAGATGGATGTTCAAAGTCACAATTGGATTTATGGACCAACGAGCCAACTCCTAATAAATGTGTTTAGGTGAGTAGTGAGGCAAATTTACATTCATAGGCCAATATGGGCAAGGTGGCATCTTAAAGTATCAATGACACCCAATAGGACCCGTCGCCAATAGGCATTATAAACTAGTTTTGACTAACTAAAGGGTATAATCTAAAATGAAAATGATGGAAATCGATACAGCAATGCATTCAAAAGACTTTGTGACCTAGTGTGAAGACAATGTTGAGCCTATGATTAGAGACAAGTTGGTTAGTGCTTAATCACAAACACCTGTTTGGACTATGCCAACGATCAGCAAGAAGAAACTCGTGCACAAGCGTTTTGCGCCAAAAAAAAAAAAAAAAAAAGCGGCAAAGAGAAGTTTGATTGAGGAGGCCATGGTCCAAAGAAGAATCATGAGACTACGGATACTCCCACAAAAGGCAACTTTCATCAGTATTATCTACTACCAAATTTTACAAACAGAGATTCGTTGACGTGAATGCATGCTTTCTTAGGACTAATTCATAGGCACTCTCGTTTAGTTTCGAGAGCCTCACCCTCCCCATCCCTTACTCATCTTTTAACTCCAAAAATTGAGAGATTAACATGCAGTGTGCTACACCAATTGAGCGGGATGAGCTGCCTTATTTTTCAATTCGTACTACTCGAAAAATTTTGGTAGATGAACCTGCTTGAGCTAGTGGATCCTCAGAATGCCCTTCGTGCTTAACGTTTTAGGTTAGCTTATGGCAGCGAAATTCAATCTTCGAGACCCCATAACATAAGAAAGTTGCACACTTTGAAAACCGTTTTAGAATGACAATTGAAATTTGAAAACTCAAAAAAATGTAATTCAATACTACAAAGACATTTTTTTTTTCATAAAATATTAAAAATACTTTTACAAAGTAAAAAAAAAAAAGTAATCGAACTCCTCAACTCATCTGGCTATGTGCTGGTAACCCCACACCACACAGCCCAGCATCGTAGTAGCAAAGCAACCCTGAATCAAAATTTAGAACAAAATTCAAGTGATACCAAAATCTGAGGGGAAAAAAACCCATGAACAAAAACACAGAGATTCGTATACGATCATCGATTTTAGAAATGGCGGGAAAAGAAAAGAGGTTCTTTCATCTTTACACGAATTATAATGTACAAAACAAACAAGCAAAAATTACAGAAAGCAACCAACTTCTATGATACATCACAGGACACCCACAAAGCTTCTAAGAAATTACATCTCACCATGAAGGAAAGTTTCATTTCCCATAAAAGGAGAAAAAAGAAATAATTGGCCATAACAAGGATTCTAAAGAATATATAGGGAAGTAAAAGAACTGGGCGGGACGGGACGGGACACCGCAGACTTCCACCTGCTTGTGGCTCATTATACAAGGGACGGTCAAAACTCACCATCAACTTGTATCACAAGAGAAGAGAGACTAAATCTAACTCACCGCTAGTGACTTGGTTCTCGAGAACATCTTTGTAAAGGCCTATCATTTGTGTTGAAAAATCAGAACTTCATCTGCTATTTTGTGTTAAAAATCCAATTGCATATTTCTGTATGAGGCATAGTGCTATATACAGAGAGCATCAGAAGGACCAGGCTGCAGACGACCCGTAATTCAACAGAGAAAGAAAGATCATCAACTACATCCAAGCAAGAGAACCTCGATCGTTAGCAACTTGTGGCCGACCTCTTGTGGGTGTCGGTGGTCGATTAGCATTCAGCTCCTGTTCTCAAGAAAAAACCAATAGAATTAACACACAGTAACTGGCATTATAGTAAGAATAAGAGCGATGTAGAAAAGTAAATCACCTGCATCCATGTATCCTCCATATGGCGTTCTGGAGACGTATCTGGCGACGATATTGCGGGTGGTATGGGATGAATGAGTTTTGGAACAACCACAAGATCTCTACCCAAAACTAGGATCGCTCCAGCATTATTTGCAGTTCCTGGACAGAAGACGTATCTTAAGGATATAACAAGTTGTGTAAAGCAAGCATAATTGAGGCAAGAGCACACATACCACAATAATTGGTAGCCGAGAAAAGTGTAATTAGATGTCCCTGAGCAAAACGTTCAAAACCATCCATTACACATTCATGTGCACGTACTATCAACTGAAGATCGTTATTGTTGCAGAATTCCATTACACGATCGGGCTGCAGTGACAAACAAGATACCCATAAAATAATTAACTTCAATAAAACATCCAAAAATTCTATTAATGGGGCATGGCGAGCACTGAACTTTGACTTCCAAACTGAACACATTTACACATCAAAGTTTGAGAAATAAAATGAGCCTCAGTAAAATGGTGCATAAATATCATGGCTTTGCGTTCAGTGATGTTAGGAAAAAGAACACGGCTCTCTGCAGATTCCATCCTAATTTATCAAATCGAGAAACCAAACTTTCATTTTGCTTTCATTTTGAAGAGAAAAAATTGAAAGAATACAAAAGGGGAGCAAGAACCAACAAAAAACATGCCAACAACAAACAGCAGCCCAAAAGGAACTAGACAAGAGCTAACCTAACGACACAAAAAAGGGCTTAAAAAAAAAAGAATAGAACCTAACAAATAATTCAGCAAATCATTTACCCTACCCAATACCACCCATACCATGGAATAGCTATCACTCGTTTTTCCTAACTTAGCCAATCACCACCACTACCCAATACCCATACCATGGAATAACTATCACTAGTTAGGCATACCATGGAATAACTATCACTAGTTTTTCCTAACTTAGCCAATCACCGCTTAATGTCAAGAAGATGCCCTTAACTAACTAGTGAACAAGTTCCACGCCTTATTCCTACTTAGCCAACCTCTAAACTTCTATATAACCAAGATAAACTTAACCTACTAACAAACTTACTAGCTCTCTGTAGTTAAATATTTATATCTTACAAGGACATATTTCAAGTTGCTAAATTATGCGCCCCAATCCTTATGAGTGCAACAATCGCCATGATCACTCTAACCAAAAACAGGGTTGGGCAATCAAATATTTTCATATGAGAAGGTTTCAACTTCAAATAAAGTTTTGACTAATGTTTCCCAAAACTCTCTACTAACCCACTTTTTCTTGAAACTATGAACAAACATCACTCAGCATTCCTCCTAAACCTAAAAGAGAACACTGCTTAGAGCTTCCACTGTTCAAACCCCAATCACTAAAAGCAGGGGCAAAGTTGTTAAGTGGTGATTGGTTATTCTGAGGTACAGATTTGCCTAAGGCATCTAAAACTTGGAACTTATGAGTATTTATATGCTTCAGGTTTTGTCTCGATTACTCGGTCCAAGAATGTTCGACTTTATTTTACTAAAAATAACTGGGAGGTAAACTAATAGAACTCTTGTTTAGCTATTTCTTTTGCTTTATTTTCTAGTCTATTCTTGCTGTTAGCAGCCTTTCCACTGTGCCTTTATCATACCTAATGAAAATCCCGTCTTTTATCATTTAAAAGAAGAATAATAAAAAGACTTCCTAAGTGAGTTTGGAAGGTTAGGTAAAGAGTAATAAACAGTCTATTGATGAAAGATGTATTTTGTTATTATATTTCGCTCTGCCATTTGCAGCCTCCAACTGTCCTCTCGACTCAGTCTTTCTTTTTCCTTCCCAGTGATTCTTGGTTCCTGCTCAGCTTCACAATCAGTAGTTATTCCACTTAATAGATTATTCTGTTTTGCGATGGAGCTCACGTCATGTATTCCAGGAGCGTGTCAAATTGAAAAAAAATATTACAGGTGTCTTTTTAATCTTCTTAGTGGAGTAAATATCTCACATATGGGTAGGAAGTCTATTCACCCTCTCTATGTGTCCCTCAAGGCTAAAAACTTGATTTATAAATGTGCCAAGGAGGTTCTTCCAAATCAAAAGAGTTCCTGATTCTTTCAGAAGTTGAGATGCTCAGGCTCTATCCTCTTGTAAGAATAATTGAGCAACAAAAGAGGTCTCTCTTCCTCAATTAAGAGTTAAAGATAAAGAAGGTACGGAGCTCATTTCTTTCTTCCATAGATCATTCTGAAGGGTGTAAAAATTATGAATATACTTGAAAAGCTCCCTGCAGCAAAATCAATGCACGAGCAAACCCAGTAATAGCAATGATGAGGGGTGTTAAATGGAGGACTCGATCACTTGCAATCTTGAACAACCAAAACCACCCCTTCATAAGAAACTGCTTGATAAGAAAACTGGACTCTTTCACTGGGAGACTGCAGTTGTTGTTCGAAGGAAGCATTTCCAGAGAATTGGTATAGAATTCTGCTAGAGGTTCAAGAATAAAAGGGTCCTTATTGCTCATCAATCCCTCGTTGCAAAAAAGGCACTAAAGGGGTGAAGCCCTCAGTGTTTGAGAACTCTTTGATCGAACCATTGTCCTTGCGTCTACCTGAATTGCTTCTTAGTGTTTGAGAACAAACACCCAAGTATAAAATTTTGGCTCTATTATGGACTTGATGAACAATAGAGCGTTTGAATAGAGAGCATCTTGGACTGAGTCTCTACCCTATTTGGGCTACAACTTAAAAGCTATTTAGAAAAATAAAGTTACGTGTTCACTTGAAATTCATCATGCTATAGCATGAATTTATAGGGGAAAAAAAAAGAGAGAGAGAAGGAAACATAACTACTCACCCCAAACGTAACTAAACCAGGACCTCTAGCATTTGGCCGCAATCCTTCAACGCTGTCATTTTCTGTGGGGTCAGACCTAAAGAAAATAAATATAAAATCATAAAAATCCTAGTAATGTACATGGCTATCACGAAAAAGTAAAAGAGACCATCAAGGACGTGCACCGACCACAACAAATCCATTAACACTATTGAGCCTGCTTCCATGGTAATTGGACGTTGAAGACTCTCAATTTGCTCCACATGGTTAATCGACCGACCAATGCCACCATGCATGCAAATAATTTTTTTTTCAATCAAGGCTGCCAAAGGGAGCCAATTAAACAAACGATTTATCCGATGCCATATCCAAATTCCATCTCGTTCACCCTGGTCAATGAGTTGTAAAGTTAAGTTGTAATGAACTAACACACAAGATACAGCCATGAAATACAATTATCTTATACCATTCGCTCGATGCACTCAATCCGAAAGCCAAAAAGGGCATTAATATCTGCTGCTTCATGGTTCCCACGTATCAAGTGCACATTATTTGGATACTCAACCTGCAAAATTTAAAAGGACAAATACATTGTCCCGTTAAAAAATTAAAGTAACGAGACAATTAAATTATGACAAATACAAATATACTATGCCAAAAAGCACCTTTAAAGCAAGCAGAAGAGAGATGGTTTCTAGGCTGTGTTGGCCTCGATCAACATAATCTCCCAAGAATAGGTAATCAATGTATCTGATAAAAGGTGATACAAAATTAGCATATATGATCAAGTACAATAAATAAAAAGAATGATTAACGCACTGAATACAAAGTATTGCTACTGGAAATAGTTAACCATCCCACAGGCTATCCTAATAGTTGTTAAACCACCAAAATCAGAGAATCTCAAACTCGAGAATGAAAAATTGTATAAACAAGCAATTAAAGCAAAGAGCCCTTCATGCACTATTCTTACCAAATGTTGTTTACCTAGCCACCCATCACTTGTTGGCCGGGCCACTTAATAAGACCTTGTTTCATTCTTTACTTGGTATTTTCTCTTTTTTATTTTCTTTAGTATCTTGCAATCATTACCAGTTTTTTTTTTTCCTTCAAAATCTTTCCATCTGAGATTGGTTACTTTTTTTTAAGAGAATTTTTCATTGATAAAGAAAGCCAAAAACTACAAATGGTTTCACAGTTTGGTCCCATCACTCAATCCTTTTAGAGATTTGTAACTGTCAGTCTTGTTTCCTTTTCTGAATCAGTAGACAATCCTATATTGGGGTAGTCGAGTTACCAATTTTTGCAACATACACGGAATATATTTTTCACACCATGGTATCATAGCCATGATCACACCCAAGAGAATCTATTTTTCTGGCTTGGTTAGATCAGATAGTGTCGCCCCATTGAAATTAGATAGAGTTAGTTTCTGAAGCACCGAAACATTCTAAGTTGCTGAAGTAATCAACCCTGAATTCAACCAAATTGCCGGAGTAATTGACTGGATTGCTAAATTGAGTTGATCTATCAAGTTACTCTCAACCAAATTGTTCAAACAGGTCACTTGAAAGAGAGTCGTGCAATTGATTGCATGACCACAATCGTAGATATTTCAAATCGGGTCACTCACACAAGTCAATCAGATGACTCAGAAAATGCACAACCAGGACCACTGAAAGTGTGAATCTATTTTGATTTTCTTATTAAACTAAAATGGGTGTTGATAGAGACTTATTCATGGGAAAAATGAATAACCAAATAACCAGGAACCAAAGCGGCAGCTGCGAACCCAAGGTCCAACAACTATAAATGTTGGCCATCTGGTTATTTAAATTCTGATATCTCTATTCTACCCATTACCTCGCGTAGACTTGATAAGAATTAGCTCTCTTTGAGCACAATCAGTACGATTTTAATGTGGAAAAGGGAAGGCAGAATACCCATTGGGCAGAACTCCAACTCCTACAACAACTTATCAGAATTGTATATGGAAGAAAAATAACAATATGGTCGTGTGTCGTGTCATGGCTCATTAATTCAATTACCACCAAAAACGAGCGAGAGTTATCTTTTATAATTGTAGAAAATCAAGCAGCTAAACCAGTTCAGCTGGAAATTAGGAAATTTTCTAAGATTTTCTATAAACTAATTGCTTCTTTTAGTTCACATGGTTATATAAATATGGGTCTTACTTACCACTTAAGAGATAAGAAAAATCTTTCTCCTATACAAAGCTTCAATACTCAATGGCTGAAGGAATATTGGAATTTTCTCATGAGACATTTCTGATCCTAGAAACACTTCAAAATCATTTCATATCAAAGGGGCACTCTATGAATTAACACGAGTTCCATGTCACCGAATACTTGCCATTAGCAACACTTAGTTTTATATGAGAATCGCAACTAGGGCTGCACTTCTAATGCCACTAAATACAAGAAAATTGTGGAAAGGACAAGACTGTTCAAATTTCTATTGAGCCTCAATATAGAGTTAGACCTAACATAAGGTATGTGTTTCAGCCATTAAGCCTCTACCCACCAGCATAAAGGAAACATTTTATGAAGTTCATGTAGAATAAAGTAGAAAAGGACTAAGCCTATAAACAAATATTCCAAGTCAAACAGAGAAATCTGCCCTGGTAACCTAAATTCAACACTATGAAAATGTTCGACTCAAATCAAATTTCCTGCTCTGACTATTACAAAATCCCTTTTATTTGTAACTTTTCAGTCATAATTGAATAACCTTACCAACTGGAGCACCGCAGCACAAACACAACCTGGACACAGACAAGCAACCTTCTCATGCAACACAAGGCCATTCTGCCCTAACTCAATATCACTAAGCCTTTCTTTCTTCTAACATAAACCAGGGGTTATTAGTATCATGTGTGTCAAAAAAAAAATTTTTTTTTGGCCTCGGAAGGTGTTTGTGATCCCAAGGATTTCTTTTTTATTTAACAGAGATCCCAAGGAAGTAATAGTACTAGAAAAGTAAATATAAACCAAAAACTTACGCAATGTCTCCTGCTGTAGAAGGTGCACCATACTCATCAAAAAGGCGCATGAGATCCCCAAACTGACCATGTAGATCACCAAATATCTTGATGGGGGCCTTGAGCTCTAGAACACTTGGTTCAGATGAAAATATCTTTTCAGCACTCTCACAAAGGTCGGCTATTTCATTAGAATCTAAAAAGAATTGTCGGCGAACCGGAGGCTTCCATCCACGAGGTTTTAAGAGATGGGCTATGACCTAATAAAATTGTAGGGAAAAGGAGAAAATAACTCCATAAGAAAAACAAAAATGGAAAAAACATTATATGCAAACAAAATAACATTTTTATAAGGAAAAAAAGAAAGAGAAAAAAAAAAGGAAAAAAGGAAACATTGAAACCAGCCATATTTTGAATGTTGAATGCTATCCCACTGTAGTAACTAAAAACAACCGTCGGGCTTCCATATCACGTTTAATGTTCAAAAAGGAGAAACTCTATAAAAACATTATTGCTCACCATCCTCAGTACAAAAATAAAAGGAAAATATCCCAGAAGATTAAGGAAGAACTTCTTTGAATCAGACATAATACTAAGAGTAGAAAAGAAATCAGAAATTGACTTTAAAGATGGTAACGACTACAGAAGTCAAGCATCCTAGTAAGAATTAGAAATCACAATCTACAGGAAAGCACAAATTATGAAGTGCGCACAATTCCTATATCAACATTGAGAAGTATGAACAGTAAAGTGATTGAAGCAGAAAAGGGAAAAAACTCAAGATCGTTTAAAACAAACACTTGCTCTTCCAACGATGTAACAATGTAAGAACAGATACATCAATCCAATTGGATGACTATTAAACTTTATCACTCATGATTTTAGATCCATTTTTTTTTACAAGATACGAACTCATTGAAACATTCAACCTCTTGACGAGCATAAACTCTTTTTTCTCTTTCTTCTTTTTACGGAAAACCAGTTCCCGTTGAGCAAGATGAAAGAATATTCTGGATGAGCATAATACTATCATTCTTTTCTCTATACTCAGTGCAGAGAATATTCTGGATTTAATGTCAGTCAAAACATTGGGCGCAACAAATCTGGTCAGATTTGCAATTCCCCATGCTTAACTAATTACATAGTTTTAAGATATTTAATAGTTTAATAGTTACAAGAATCTCTACACTAGCAAAGGTGATCAGAGGTTTCTGCCAAGTAATATCCAATGTGACCCCATCCCAAGAGACCTTCGCCATTCCCTTGAAGAACCTTTCTTTGAGGAGGAAATTCATAGAGCTGTTTTAAATCTAGTGCCAGACAGCCTTACTGTTGAATTTTTCAAAAAATCATGGAACATCATCGAACCGGATGTCATAGTAATGTTCCAAGATTTTTTTAAAATGGAATCATAAATACTAGCCTCAATGAGATAGAGATGTCGAGATGGTTCACGACTTTAGACCTATTAGCCTCATACCTTGTGCATACAAAATCCTAGCTAGAGTCCTCTCAGAAAAGCTGAAATCTGTCCTACAGCACACTATCACAGAAAATCAGTTTGCTATTGTGGAGGGTCGACAAATTCTCGATGCTAGCTTGATGCAAATGAGGTCATTGATGATTAGAAAGCTAAAAAAAAGCCAAGGAACTCGTCCTCAAGTTGGATCTTGAAAAAGCATTTGGTAAAGTCGATTGTGACAGAAGGTTTTGGAGAAAAGTGGAGGAAGTAGATTTTTGCATGTGTATCAACCACAAACTTCTCTACATCATTAATGGGAAGCCTAGAGGAAAAAAAAATCACCGTTTCCCCATGGCCTTAGACAAGGGAACCCCCTATCCCCATTTCTCTTTATATTGGTGATAGATTGTCTCGGTCGGCTTCTCAATCATGGTTCCTATATGGGGCTTTTATCAGGCTATCGGTCCAAAGACGACTCCCTACATAACAACCTTCTCCAATTTGCAGATGACACAAAGATTTTCTCTACCAATGATCCAAATCATATCCAAAACCTTGCCAAATCTATAAAGATTTTTTAGGAAGCCTCGAGCCTTAACATAAACTACAACAAATTAGAGTTCTTGGGTATAAATATTAAGGAGACCTCCCTTACTGATGCTGCTGCCATTTTTTCTTGCCCCATAGGTACATGGCCCTCTGCTTATCTTGGACTTCCCTTGAATGGCCGACAAAAATCTTTGTCTTTTTGGCATCCTATTATTGAGAAAGTGGAGAAAGAATTATTCAAATGGACTAATCACCACATATCAAAGGGAGGTAGGTTTCATTGATACAAGCTGTTCTCTCTAATATACCTACATACCACCTCTCTCTTTGAAATTCCAAAAGGAGCAGCCAACTATCTTGAAAGAATTTTCAGAAATTTCCTTTGGGAAGGTCCTAAAATGGCCGGCAAAATACACCTTGTAAGTTGTAAATTAGAGGAAAGTTCAGCCCCCTTTGGACAAAGGAGGCTTGGAAATAGGCAACGTCATGAAACGAAATCAAGCTCTGCTCTCAAAATGGTCCTAGAGGTATTTGACAGAGAAACTCACACTTCGGAAAAGAATGATCTGGGAAAAATATGGGAAATCTGCTCATGACCCTTGACCTATCCAACCTGCTCAAAGTTTTAAAGGTCTCTGGACTAGTATTTCTAAGCTTGACAGCAAGATAAGAGACATAGTTCAATGTAAAATTGGCAGTGGCACCATGGATAGCTTTTGGCATGACAAATGGGCAACTAACTCTACCTTGGCTGAGGATTTCCCCCATCTCTTCTCAATCTCTACAAGAAATGGTGTTTGGGTCAGCCATTTTAGGAATCAAAATACAGCCTCTTGGGATTATTTCTTTTGAAGACCGCACAGGAGGAACTATCAAAATAGTTGAATCCTGAACAAAGACTCTCGGGTATAAACCTCACTCACATGGATGACAAATGGATTTGGCCCAATGACCCCTACAAAAGTTTCTCTGTTAAGTCTCTTTTCACTGATCTTGCAGCCATAGAGAGCACCCATTCTACTTTGTCCTATGAAGTAATATGGGCAGAAAAGTACCCTAAGAAAGTCCTCTACAAGCCAACATAAACAGTCTCTTACAAGCAGCTTTGGGGGGGTCACCCTTTCAAAAGGAACAGGAAGGCTATGTGGTCTCTCTTCATTAGAGCCTTCATTTCGTGCTTATGGGGAGAACAGAACAATAGAATCTTCCACAACAAATTGCAGCCTTCCAACATTCTTTGTAATGGTGTTTTGGTTTTGGCATTAAGCTGGTGTAAATGCTATTTTTTATCCTTCTCAAGCTATAGCTTAAATGACCTTTTAGTGAATTGGAGGGCTTTAATGTAACCCTCCCCTTTTGTATATTTCATCTCATCAATGAAATATTTATTTCTCATTAGAAAAAATATATATTTAATAGTTAGTACCTTTTTTGGAACACTGTTAATGGACATCTGTCGATCTAGGAGCTTCCTTGCTGCAGTTGCACTCTCTGGGGTACCATAGCTCACACGGCGACCCTCATTTTCAAACTGATCAATTGAAAGTTGCCTAACCATACCGCCTAAAGCCCCACTAGTTTCAGCAGCAACAACCACCTGAAACAAATGGGACAAAACATCAACTATGAAATTTGATCTAGTTGAGGTTTAGTTACATGGAACTTGAGATCACATTCAACATGATAACAAAAATCAGAGACTGACGGCTCTATGATGCAATCGAACACCAGATGGAACAATATTATTCAATGCATCTGAGTCAGGCTTTATCAAGCTAGATATTTGTGTCCCACTTGGAGTAGCCTCTGCTCCACGATCTCTTTCCGGCAGTTCAACTTCCCCATTGTCTTGTTCTTGTCGAGCCTTGGCAGCAGCCAATGTTGCACTTATAGCCTCAGCCTCTGCAGCTGAAGCTTCAACCAAATACTCTACACCTTTGTTCGTTCTCCTGAAAAGCAACCAGATGCACTGGTCAAGCACATGGAAAGCAACAACTAAGTGTTAGAACAAAAATCAGATGAAGAAAATGTTTGCTTTACCGAGGGACCTGAAGCATAGCATTTTCAGTGCTTATATCAGTATACATGTCACCATTTATAGGAGGAGCCACAGGGTTTCCCAGTACTACAGCACCATCAGGAGCTACAACATGAATGGCCTGTCTACTCCTTTCTTCGCTAAAACCATACTTTCCTGCCAGTCGCCCAGACGGAATGCCAGATGCAGCAGCTGCAGCTGCAGCATGTGAAGCAGCACTTGTTGTTTCAGCCGCTGCTAGATCTTCAGCAACAAGAAGGTCATCAAGCAACACCCCTACATAACGAATATAATATGTTATCATACTACAACCTCGTGAAACAAGAGAAAAGGTGCATAGAAAAATCACATAATCAAAAGTTTGACATCAGAAACTAATAGAGCTTCCACAATGAAATTTTACTAACCAACAATAAAAATTAAAAATGGACATCCCAAAGCCAGAATATGTGAATGCTTCCATCACTTACCACCCCGCAAACCACCATAAATAAAGATTAAGTCACCCACAGCAGCAGCTGCATGCCTACAACGCCTTGTTAGCTCAACTGCAGCATCCCCACCAGCAGCATCGGCACTGTATTTACCTGTCCTAGGACTCGTTACAACTGATTTTGTATCACACCAGATTCCTGCTGCGGTATCCAACACTACAAACAGTAGAAATACCGAAAATAAATAAATAAATAAATTGTTTAGCTTGAGAAAATCCAAGATAAATTAGATGTAACAATTTCAAACACAAAAGCCAAAAAGTAGAACTAGAGCAGTAGTATTTCCAATGAGATTAAAACCATGCAGTATAATTTATTATCTAGCTACCCTCAAGAATTTCACATGAACAATATAAGTCACATTGACGTTGAACATCTGTACTAGCACAGTACCAACCACTTTTAGCAAGAAAAACTGCTGCTGAAGCTTCAAATGATTTTATAACAAATGATATCAGAAGCAACTAAAACAGTTTATCTAATTTAATTATATCATAGATTGTCTGCAAAATTCCTTTTTAGCCAAGGATGTTTCTGCCCTTACGGCAGTCATCTGTACTTTCCATTCCCCTTAAGAAAGTATTTTAAAAATTTTACTTTTTTAAACAAGAGAGAATAATTTTAGCTGAAGATACAATATCAAAAACTAAGCAGCAAGTGTTAAGTAGATAACATATTAATTTGGATTTGTTTAAATTGTGTGTTAAATGCAAAGATATCAGGCCTGGAGACAACGTGAGAGGATGCCTTGGCTTTTCCTATTTTTCAATATTATCAACAATTGCGAAGAGCTATAATTAAGGCCCTCAGACAAGGAAATCTTTTGTTTGGAAGACTAGAAAGTTGTTTTCACATTCCCAGGGTACAGGATATTTTTTTTCGATAAAGACTAGAAAGTTGACACACTGAATGAAATTTCTGAACTTTATATGGGGTTGGTGGATCATGTGGTATTTAGCAACTATGGATAATGTTTTATCCTACAAATCCAGTTCCTTCTGGATCAGAGCTGGACATATAGTGCCCTGAACTTTGAAATTTGTAATTTCCTTTTGTTAGAATAAATTTATTTTCAACATCCACGAGAAAACACAAAATAAAGCACACAGTTTCCACAATTTAAGGATCTTATGACATTCAAACTTTGTGGAATTTCTCCTCATGAACTATTTCGTTGCAAAATTGAAATTAGTTTGGAAGGACCCGTAAAGGAGTAATACCTTTCTGAACTCCACTTCCATTTAATTAACATGCTTACTATTTCAGAAAAGTGTTCTTTTCTTAGGAAACAAAAATTATGTTATCAAAATAAGTACAAAAGAGGAAAATTTGAAGTTCTGAAAAAACCAATACGGTTAAAAAAATGAAGCAAAAAAGAAATTCCAATTAGTATAAATCATTAAAACATCATAGCAGTAAATTTTTTTTGACATATTAGTATCTTTTTACGACAAAGCAGGAAAGCAGAAATGAAAGCCAAGTTGCTAGCCTCAAAATGTTTTCTAAATTACAGCCTTGTAAATTGTAACGCGAACTTCTTTTTTGTAACCATTGGCTGTTTAGGGGATTTCTTTTCCCCCTCTTTTGTAACAAGCTCTCTTTGTTAATGAAATTCTCTAAATTACAGCCTTGTAAATTGTAACGCGAACTTCTTTTTTGTAACCATTGGCTGTTTAGGGGATTTCTTTTCCCCCTCTTTTGTAACAAGCTCTCTTTGTTAATGAAATTCTTAGTTTCTTATCAACAAAAGAAAGCCAAGTTGCTAACAAACTTTGGTTGAAAATATGAGAAAGGACTTAGAGAGAAGTGAATAAACACTTTTGACCAAAAATATGTTTTGACAGAATCATACCTTGTTCAGAAGGATAAAAAGAACAAGCATTGACCCCAAAATAAACACCACCTAAAAGGGGTTAAGTAGTAAAGTGGATTTTACCAGAGACATTTTTCAAAAAAGAAAATTGTAATGTCTTATGCCTAAGATTCAAACCAAAATTTGGAATTTGAATTTGGTACTTAACGACCCTAATATTTCCTTACATTTGTTGCAGCTTGAATACATCAATGTAACATCCCAAATTACTTCTGAGATTGAAGACTACACCACAAACTAATACAGGTTCTTTCAAACTAATACAGGTCTTTTCAGTGGATTTATTCTCACTCGTGTGCTTTCTAGGAAAACTTTTCAAGAGGTCATCCATCCGAAATATGAAAAGGGACTCAACGAGTAGGGGAATATGCACTTCCAGTCAGGAATACATTTCGACATAATCATTCCTAGTTCACAAGGTTAATGAGAACTATAAATAACCTAAAAATATCCAATACAACATAGCAGCATGACTGGAGAAATTAGCATAAATAAATCACTACAATCAAGAACCTGCAACACTTGATGAATCTTCCACCATGCGCCCCCCACCAAGTGCCCCTCCAGATACATGGAGTCGTGCATTTACAAAGACCTGAAGAATTACATGTCCAGAATTTTCATAGAGTACAGTTATAGAGGGTATAAAAAGATAATAACAAATCTTACAGCAGCATGTTGATATCTTGCAGATGGTGAGACACCAGGAGCAATTGCCCATTCCCAACGGCCATCTCTGTGTTTAGCTAGCCCATAGGCACTTGCCAATGGCTAAAAAAAATTAGAAAATGGGAAAGTAAAAAAGTAAAATACAAAGTTTATATATATATATATAAAGAAATATGGGTAGCGCATAGCATACTCCAATATTATAAATATAACAGATAAAAACCTAAGGAAAATTTAAAGAAAAAAAAAACAGTAAATAATTGAATTACTTCAATCTTCCTTCAACTTTTTTTCATTTTCATTTTCTTTTTCCTTTTTGAGGTTGCATACTTAGAACCAGTTAGAGTAGAATAAGATGGCATAAAAAGAAATTATTGCACCAAGCTATGAAGTACAAGACGCTTTAGTTGGGATAACATGTTCGTGACTGACACACCTGAGACATTTTTGCTACCATTTGACATCAGTTAAATATTAGTTGAACAAATTGACTACAAGTCTAACATTTGATACATTAATCACAAAAGTCGTGTCAGACTCACGTGAACGTAACACATTGCATTACTAGAAATAGATGACTAGTTACTTGGAGAGACATTGCGTTACTAGAAAGCATTCTGACCCTAGCTGTGGCTACTCCACTAATACCTTCTTACGAAAAACTCAACTACGGTGATTAATTTCAATGAGGGAGATCCCTACTTCTTCAAAAAAGCGAAAAAAATCCTCCTAATTGTTACTGGTAAGTAAACTTTCTGAGAAAAGGCCAGTGGCGTTTCTTGAGATAATGAGAGAATTGAAAGGGGGAGAGAGTTCCTCTTTAAATAAGAGACTCGACTTTCTTCAAAAAAAAAAACTCTTCATCTGAATTTAAAAGAGACTTTTGAGTATTCTGGTTTCCAACCGTCTCTTTGCAAACTTCATTAAAGGCATTACACAAATTTGAGGAGAAAGATCCAGCCGGATTAAGCCTTTCAAGGTCATTTGAATCAAAGACCCTACGATGATGTCTGGTGTAAAAACGAGGAAAGGGATCCATAAGTCTCTTCCCTCCAAGGAGATTCTCCTATTTCTAAAAATAGAAAATTGGAAAATATTCTATTGTGGGCTCTTTTATATTCCTTTTGCTTTCCTCATATAAAGACACTACTCTTTCCCTTTAATTTTCTCCTTTCAATACGAGTGTGTTGTCAAGTTACACATGAACAATGATTGTCGGCTCAGCTCTCTGGAGTGCTAGATCATAAACAATAATGTTTGACATCAATCCACACAAAACAATATGGAAGCAACCATCTTTTTTCTTGATTTGTGCGTGTCATCCTTATGCAGGGGCCATGCTAATCTTCTCTGTATCGTTCCAATTTTATTAGATGTCCCCGAAGGGACTGGAAGCAACCATCTACAAAGAATAAATATTGCAAAAGGATTAATGCTTTTTCAACTCACCACACTGTTTGCATCCCTTCCTCCACATAGCAGAAGAAGACCATCAGAGCGGGCACTTGCAGTTGCATACCTAATTAAAGTATAAAAGGCTAGATTAGGGATCAATCTGATAACATCCACAGAAAATTGTGCACAACAAAAGGGTAAATAGTAGATGGAAGTTCAAAATTTCCAGCCTTAAAATTATCAAAATTAAACCCATGGTTCAGCATAACCTCATTAAAAGAAAGGAAAAATTGCACAAACCACCTTGAACTAGAAGAAAACTGCACTCTCAAACTATAGTGGACAATCACACAGACAAATTTTCAATTTGATCCATCAACCCCTCAAACATATGACTGTTAAGGTTCCATTACTCTCTCATCTCATTTTTTGTTAATTAGTTTTGCGGAATCCAATTTGAATGTATCTTACCCTTAGGCTAATAATCACAGACACGAACATGCGATACAGATAGATACTTTAGCTTTGCGGAATCCCATTTGCAGATACCTTACCCTCTACCGAAGAAGTAGAGACACAGAACACACGACACGGATATGACAATATATAACACGGCAACTCGTCAATTTCCAAAAAAAGTAAGACACGACATGCTGGGGACACATTAATTTTTTATATAATAAGATACATATATATATGTTAATTGATAAAAATAGTACTATATTTTCTTAAACTTTAAAGAATTGATACAAGGGTATAAATAGCTGCTTATAAAGAAGAAAATAGAATGAAACCCTTGCCTATTAAGATAAGTAGATACTTACCTATTAGAACAAGGAAATAACCTAAATAGGAAATTAAAAGATAATAAATATAATTTAACACTCCCCCTCAAGCTGGTGAATGAATATTCTTCATTCCCAGCTTATTAATCAAACGCTCAAAGTTGTTGTTCAATCCTTTTGTAAGGATATCTGCTATTTGATTATCTGTTGGCACAAATGGAGTACATATGAGGCCGCTATCTAACTTCTCTTTTATGAAGTGCCTATCAATCTCAACATGTTTGGTTCTATCATGTTGAACTGGATTATGTGCAATACTGATGGCTGACTTGTTATCACAGTAAAATTTCGTAGGTCCTTCCCATGGAATCTTCAAATCTTCTAAAATAATTTTTATCCGGAGTAATTCGCAGATGCCAATGCCATTGCTCTAAATTCTGCTTCTGAACTCGATCTTGCTACTACATTCTATTTTTTACTTCTCCATGTCACTAAATTTCCACCGAAGAAAGTACAATATCCAGAAGTTGATTTCCTATCATCTATCGATCCCGCATAATCTGCATCTGGATAAACTTCTAGATTGAGTTTTTCGCCTTTCTTAAACAACAATCCTCTCCCAATGGAGCTTTTCAAATAGTGAAGTATATGGTACGTTGCTTGAAGGTGAACTTCTTTTGTATTATGCATAAATTGACTTACCATTCCTACAGCATACGCAATATCTGGACTTGTATGAGAAAGGTATATTAATTTTCCAACTAACATTTGGTAAGTTTCCCTATTTACTGGACAACTCTCTTCAGCTGCACATAATTTATGGTTTTGATCAATTGGCGTTCCCATTGGTTTGCTACCAAGTTTTCCTGTTTCAGATAGCAAGTCAATAACATATTTCTGTTGTGATAAGAATATGCCTTTTTTAGAGTAGGCGACTTCTATCCCAAGAAAATATTTCAACTTTCAAGTTCTTTAACTTCAAACTCATGGATTAAACAATTTCTTAGTTTATTCTGTTCGTTATTATCATTGTCGGTGACAATAATATCATCGACATAAACAATCAGTGCTGTCACTCCCCCTGCAGCAGAATGTTTTATAAACAATGTATGATCTCCTTGACTTTGTGTATAGCTCATCTTCCTCATAACCTGAGAAAATCTACCAAATCATGCTCTAGGAGATTGCTTTAATCCATACAATGCTTTTCTCAATTTACAAACTTTATTTCCTGCTTGCTCATACCCTGGTGGAATTTCCATATAAATTTCCTCTTCAAGATCACCATGTAAAAACGCATTTTTTACATCATATTGTAACACGTTCCATCCATGATTTACAGCAAGAGATAGAAGTATTCGTATTGTGTTTATCTTGGCAACAGGCGCAAAGGTTTCAAGATAATCAACTCCACACGTTTGAGCATATCATTTAGCCACTAACCGTGCTTTGTACCTCTCAAGTGTTCCATCCGCTTTATACTTCACAGTATATATCCATCGACAACCTACAACTTTTTTATCTTTAGGCATAGTAACAAGCTCTCATGTTCTATCTAAAGCCTGCATTTCAAGATTCATTACTTGTCTCCATTCTATATGTTGTATTGCCTCCATATATGTTTTTGGAATATTTACCTGAGTAAAGTTTACCATAAAGCTTCTATACTGACTTCAGAGTTTGTCATATAATACAAAGTGAGATAACGGATATTGAGTACAAGTTTGTTTTCCCTTCCTCAAAGCGATAGGCAAATCCATATATGACTCATCATTAGTAGATACAATAATGTTTGACTCATCATTAGCAGAAATTATAATGTATGATTCATCACTGTCTTTTTTTGAATCAATTTCAGTTTCAGAGATATGTTCGGACTCTTGGACTTGCTTATCTTTCTCAATGTTCCTTCTTGAATAAACTTGTAATGGTTCAGTAGTAGAGGGCCAAGTGAGGTGTTTATGGGTGGTAAAGATGAGGATTGACTGGAGTCAACTTTAAGAGGGTTTGGTAACGGGGACGAAGGAAAGGTGAGACCGGGAATAGGTAAATCCTTATCTTCCAATAATATTTCCTCCCCTGAGGTAAAGAAGCTGGTGTCTTCATAAAAGGTAACGTCGGCAGAGATGAAGTACCTTTTAGAAGGAGGATGATAGCATTTATAGCCCTTTTGAGTGTTTGAGTATCCGACAAAAATGCATTTGAGTGCTCGTGGATCAAGTTTACCTCGCTGATGACTGTGAACATGAACAAAGGCTACACAACCAAATACTCGAGGAATTAAGTTATTAGTCGTTCGGAAATCAGGATAAATTTTGATAAGATATCCATAGGACTTTTCTAGTTTAGAGTAGTAGAGGGTAAACAATTGATTAAGTGGCTGTTAGCACGACTTCCCCCCAAAAGGATTTAAGAACATTTCTTTGGAAAAGAAGAGCACGGGTCACTAAAAGAATGTGACCAATTTTCCTTTCAACTACCGCATTTTGTTGGGGAGATTCCACACAAGACGACTCATGGATGACTCCATATTTTTGAAAGAATGATGTTAAGGTTTGGTTGAAGTAATCTCGAGCATTGTCAGAGCGGAATCACTTGGGTTTGTTCCAAATTGGTTTTCTATCATATGAAAAAATGTTTGAATGGTAGATCCAAAATCAGATTTTTGTTTCAAAAGATAAACCCATGTGACTCGAGTGCAGTCATCAATAAATACAATAAACCAGCGAGATTTAGAAATATTTGGCACATTGGAGGGACTCCAAACATCAGTATGAACTGATATTCGTTTATTATTACCAGGAAATGGTACACGTTTGTGTTTAGTGAATTCACAAACCTCACATTGAATTGACTCGAGAGGAAGATTTTGGAATAAATCAAGAAACAAAATTTTAAGAATTCTAAATGAAGGATGTCCTAGTTTATAATGGTATAACAAAAGCTTACTTGAAGAAAGATGAGTTTGTGAGGTGAAGGAGACTGGAACACTATCTTGTCCAATAAGTTCATCAAGATAATAAAGTCCATTTTTTCTTTAGCAAGTCCAATCGTCTTCCCATTACCCTGATCTTGTAAAATACAAGAAGAATTAGAAAAATTTATCCTGCATCCGAGATCTTTGATTAAATTCTTTACTGAGATCAAATTAACCGTTAAATGTGGTATATGAAGCACATTCTTTAGAGTAATGTTTGAATTTATCTTGATGTCTCCTTGACTAGCCATTGTTAATAAGGTACCATCAGCTGTAGAAATTTTCTTGTCACTCGGACAAAGACTGTATGAGATAAAATGACAGCTACTATTTGTCATATGATCAGTTGCACCAGAATCAATAATCCAAATACAACGTTTAGGATGAGAAGTTGTACTTGTCAAAGTTACCGAACATGTACCTTAATTAGGAGTATTATCCAAATTTCTTAAAAGACTCCTTAATTGTTTAATCTCATACTTGTCCAACCCTTTTGATTGCGACATGGATGCTAATAGCAACTTAAAATAAAGACCCACGCAAAAATTAGAAGTTTTAAGTTCCAAATAGAGGATGGTAAAAAACGGCACTGGTAGTGAACCGAACCAAACGGAGTCGAAGAGAATCGAACCAGGTCGAAGAGAACCGAACCAGACCGCGATTAACCGACCAAACCGAGATGAATCAAACCAAGCTGAGATGAACCAAAAATAGAACCGAATTGAGTCAAATAGAACCGAATTGAGTCAAATCGAACCAATCCAAACAGGAGTTAAAAAAAACTCGAACCGAACCGATCTATTAGACCGAATCTGAACCAGAAAAAAAAAGGTCTTCTTAAATTAGTTGAAACCCTAAAATGTAGCAGCCACAAGTCATGAACCCACAACTACGAACGGCACACCCAATTCTTTATGCCAGCGATCTGACGAACTCAAACTCGAACAACGAAATCGATGGTGGCAACTGGCAATGTGACTTCGGGCAACGATCTTCGGTGAACAACGGCGAACAGTGGCAACCGGTGACCAAATCTTCTTCTTGCGACTGTAACTCCACGATGGCCCGATTTGCGACAACAAATCCCAACGAATCAGAGGGACCTGTTCGAGCACGATGGCGAAGACGGACCCTGTGAATTGATCTCTAAAGTCTGAACAAGAAAAAACCCGACGACAGCGAGTTTCTTCGGTGATTAAGTCGACAGCTTGAGCACCCTAGTTTGAACTTTTCGAACACTCAACCTCTTCAAATGATGACCAAGCGTTCCGTGATGACAGCAGCAAGGACATAATAGTTCTAGGTGTTCCAAGCTTCAAAACCCTAAGGTTGATAAAATTCTAAAAAACGGTAGAGAAAAAAAATTCAAGATCTGAAGTAGTAAGAAATTGATTGGCAATAAAGGCCAATAAAAAAATCTAATGCTCTGATACCATGTTAATTGATAAAAATAGTACTATATTTTCTTAAACTTTAAAGAATTGATACAAGGGTATAAATAGCTACTTATAAAGAAGAAAATAGAATGAAACTCTTGCCTATTAGGATAAGTAAACACTTACCTATTAGAACAAGGAAACCCTAACCTAAATAGGAAATTAAAAGATAATAAATATAATTTAACAATATATATATGCGTGCGTGCGTGCATATTTTGATATATTAATATTTAATACTTTTAAAGTAGATTTCTACCTTTAAACATCAACATTCAGAGGATAACCAACATCAACAATATCCAAATGAAAGGGAAAAAAGAATGGGAGAAAGAAATACAGAGGAGAAAATGAAAATGAAAAGGAAAAATGAAAAATGAAAAAAAATTTTGGGA